AGGGTCCTCCTCACAGGCTGCTCTCAGGGTCCTGTTCCTCTGAGACCGAGCCAAGCCAGAGAGAGATGAGAGTCTTGACCTTGTTGTGAGGAGTTTATTAAATAAGACTGGAGAAAGAGATGGATTTTTTTTAGGTTAGTTCTCAGGAGGGATGGGTGTTGGTTTCCAGCAGAGATGTCTTAAGTATTGCAGTCAGAATGTTCTTTCAGTGACAGCTCTTTCAGTGTTTATTTAAAACAAAACATTTTCCCTGAAAGTTTAAAGTAGAATAGTTTGCAAGAGTACAATTATAAAGACTTTGGCGCTGTGAAAGGACCCGTTTAATGTCAAAGACAACTTCTGTATTCCCATTTAGCCACATGTTAGCAACCACCTTTTTCAAGACAAGTAAATGCTTTTAAAAATCTCAAGGGGGTATTACTGATGTATTTTATGTTGTAAAATAAAACATGAAAATATCTTGAGCTTGTGTTCACCACAGACCTTACTTCAAGGTATAGCTCACCCAAAAATGAAAAGTACCCCATGATTTACTCACTCTGAAGCCATCCTAGGTGTATATGACTTTCTTCTTTCAGACTAATACTAGTGAATGGGTGTTATTTTTCAATAGTCCAAATGAAGTCCAATAAACTGCGTCAATCCATCATAAAAAGTGTCCCACACAGTTCCAGGGGGTGAATAAAGGCCTCCTGAAGCGAATTGATGCGTTTTTGTTAGAAAAATATAAATTTTTAAAACTTTATAAACCATAATCTCTAGCTTTGGCTAACTGTCGTACGCACGTACATGAGAGAGTCGCGTTTATTCAGAAGGCCTTTATTCATCCCCCGGAGCCATGTGGGACACTTTTTATGATAGACGGATGCGCTTTATTGGACTTCTTTTGGACTATTAAAAATAACACCCATTCACTGTCATTATAAAGCTTGGAAGAGCCAGGACATTTTTTTATTATAGCTCTGATTGGATTCGTCTGAAAGAAGAAAGTCATATACACCTAGGATGGCTTGAGGGTGAGTAAATGATGGGATAATTTTCATTTTTGGGTGAACTATCCCTTTCAGGCATTGAAACAAAAACCCATTCAAAAAAACATTGATTTCAGGACGACAGACCTGGAAGTGCTAAAATGCACTCGTTTATGGTTTTGGCCTACATGAATACTTCATCCTTGCAGTACTCTATAGGGATGGGGTCATAAAAACAGCCCATACGATTACATTCCTCTAAATAACTCCTCTGAAGCCATGCGATAGCACAATATGAAACTGAAATGTAAAAAAAAAAGTTTTGTTTGCTGAAAACCTTCCCCACCTTCATAGCTCTTTAATCCTGTCATGTGAGTTCAGATAAGTTTTGACGTCAGTGACGTCATTGACATCAAACCCGATGGTGAAGAAAGAAAAATATGGGTTTGGAACAACATGAGGGTGAATTTTAATTTTTGGGCTAAAGTCTAGTTTGACCGACGAACGGAGCTCAAGCGTCAGTGAGGTTTGCTTGTGGACAGCGCAGAATCTGAACCCTTCAGAGCGAAGCCTGCTGCCAAAAATAATGTTCAGGACCTCTACAATAATCTCAATCAAACGGAGTGGTCCTGACTGAACTGTTAGTTAATGCTCATATGCTCATAAATGCATTTTTGTTTATTAACTTGCTCAGGCAAACTAGATTAAGAGAAAATGCTCATAATTGTTGTTCATTTTAACATTTGGAAAGTCCCCAGGGACATTCCTGTGGCATTCTTTGATTTATGAAGCGAGCAGCTATGTAATTTTCCATTTAGCTATGAAACTTTCCATCATTTTTCCAAAACAAGGAGGTGAGTGCTTTGTAGAAGCAGTCTGAACTGCCTTCAAATGATGCAGCATCTTTAGCTCTCTCGCTATCGGTCTTTCTCATCACCATCTTATGAACAATATCTCCACTAGCCACCCACAGAAAACAGCCCAGCACAGGAGGAGAGGAGGAGAGCTGTCTTAGCTTATCAGCGTCAGGCCCTTTATTCACTTTATCTCTGTGGATTAGTTTTATTTGCTGCATAGGGCACTCTCTGAGTGCTTGTGGAGAGCCAAACAAATGCACATGTCCACACTAATTGTATGCTTCCATAGTAGTTTGAGGGCAGATATCTACAGGCACAATCCTCCAATTAGAGCCGCACGCCAACGGGGATGAGAGGAAGTGTGTGTTTGTAAGGAAAAGCTAAAGGGAAGTACAGAAAAGGAAAAACAAATGTATATTTAAGTTGCACATCAACCGTTTTCTTCAGAGTGATGTTATACCTGATCTGTGGTGTGATTGGACAGCCCTGGTTCTTTAAAAGAACAGTATCACCAGAAAACATATAATTAAGTTGAATTAATTACCAAATTAATAAATAATTACGAATTATGCAACTGCTATACATATATCAAACCATACTCATACATATTAAAGGCTCAATAAACTCACGGCAGTTTGTTCTTTGATTTCTTGTTAAGTAAATTGGGGCCTTAAGTGACATGTTCTATATAGCAAATGTCAACTGCTTGATTGTTATATCATCAAAAAATGTAAACTGGATTATTATTCAGCGATATATTAAAAATACATCCTACTTTAACTGCATACATGCAGCATACTTACTTAAAGCAGTAAACACTATAAAGCAAATCTCGGCTATATATTGTCGCAAAAATTTAAACTGTATTATCACACAGCGATATGTTATATCCACCTTTATTTGCATACATATATAATACACGCATCTAAAGCGATAGACTATATAGCAAATCACAACTGCCTGATTTTTTGATTTCATCGCAAAACATAACTTTATTAGCACCCAACTCTTTATAGAGTTGGATATACAAGTATGTCAAACTTTACAGTAAACATACAGTATTACTGTGTAGGGCGATATATACCATATAGGGATATGCCGGTATCAAATTTTCATGTTGCGGTTAATTGCTAATGCTTTTATTACGGTGTACGGTATTATCACGATATTGAAATTAAGTTAAAAAAAAAGTGCTGTCATAATACAGGATAACAGGTTTACTAACTTTTTTCTTATAACAAAAATAACTGAACATTTAAATGCAATAAAGCAATACAGAAAAATGTATAAAGTTAAAAGTTTTACACAGATTAAAGTGCAAAAGAACTATAAAGACCAATAGGTATCACTTTACAATAAGACCTCATTAGTTAACCTTAGTTAATGCATTAACATTCACAATGAGCAATAGCTACATTTGCTACAGAAGTTATTAATCCTTGTTTAAAAAATACAAGTCTTAGTTCATGCTAGCTCATTAAATAACACAGTTGCAACTTTAGATTGCATATTAATTACCGTGATATATCGCATTACCGAATATCGGCACAAGTCTAATACCATATATCATATCTCGACTGCTTGATTGCTTGTATCTTTGCAAAATGTGAATTATACTATCGCCCTGCTCCACACTGCTAAATGTGACTATATGGCATGAAGATATTCAAATATATGACCCTGGACCACAAAACCAGTCTTAAGTCGCTGGGGGCCGGTTGTTTATATGTGTCCTAAAGAGGGATATGCAGACCCTGGTGTCGTGTTTAAGGACATTGACTTGCATGGAGCTGTGAGTTGACATGGATTCAGTCCTCATATGTCTTTATTATTCTTAAGAATAAAAAATTTTACTTTCACCCTTGTGAGCTGTGGAAATGACAGGCCCATCCTTCATACACACTCTTCTGCCGTATGTGGTAGACCCTCAGTTTGATGCAGTGATGTAATGAGTCGTACCGAATAATGAGGCGCTCACAGGTATTTCTGGATGATACCATATAGCCGGGGAGGGTCTTCATTTATTGATTATTGACTAATATTCATTTTCATAATCTCATTTTAAGGAATATACTGGGTTATTTACAACTTTATGGTGAAGTGTGTACAATAAAATAACGTGATAAAAATAAAATGTACACTACTGTTCAAAAGTTTGGGGTTGGATAGATTTTTAAATGTTTTTGAATGCGTCTTGGGCACAAGAAAGCTGTATTTATTTGATCAAAAATACAGTAAAAACAGTAATATTATTATTTTTCCAGTTTAAAATATTGTAAAATATTTTCCTTCAGAAATCATTCTAATATGCTGATTTGCTGCTCAAGAAACATTTCTTATTATTGTGTTGGTTAATATTTTCGTGGAAATTGTGATACATTTTTTCAGGATTTTTTGATTAAATATAAAAGTCAAAAGAACAGCCTTTAAAAAAAAAAAAAAAAGGAAATATTTGTAACATTATAAACGTCTTTACGCATCAATTTAATGCATCCTTGCCGAGTAAAAATATTGAGTTCTTTAATAAAAAAATGTACTGACCCCAAAAGTTTGATAGGTAGTGTGAAAATAAAAACATAAAAAAATAAAATAAGTAATTAAAATTAAAAAAAGATATATTTTTAATATATTAATATATTAAAATATATTAATATATTTAATATATGTTTCCCGTTTGCTTTTGCTGGCCCAAACTGGACTGGTCGGGATGCTTGAACAAACAGCAATATTTTGAAGCTCCACATGAAGCTGGAATATACTAAAGTATTTTAACCCTAAAAATGACACACTTCACCTTTAAACTGTATCGATAGAATCTGTGGTATGCTGTTGATTAGATAAAATTACAGAAAGTAATTTTGACTTCAGTTTGACCTCAGTTTGTAAAAAAACAATGAAGTGGGTTTATTATTCTAGGAGGAGGAACTGCTGATTATGTGTGTCCAATGTAATTGCCACAGATGCTGTCATGCTTAAGTTGTACTTGACCAGGAATATTCCATTAATGTTATGTGTGCATCCATGTAATTATGAAATAATTAGTTCAGGACACTTCATTTAGGACCAATTTGTGTATGAGCCACTCAACCCTGCATGTCACTCCACACAGCATACTGACATTAGTGACGCCTGACTGGTGATTAATGATGGTTTCTTTCTCTTTTCTACGCAGAGCTCAGGAATGGAGGAGACGGTTTGGGAGCAGTACACTGTGACTTTACAGCGGGTATGAAACTCTTTTACATGAACTCAAACTAGCTCACTCAATGCAGGTTTAGGAGTTGCATGTTTACTCGGGCTAAACGCCGGCCTCTCTAACACACAACATTATCTGAAACTCACCATCACTGATGTGCTGGATCTAGGAGAATATAATCTTTATGATTATGATTATATCTAAATATTAACACTGACCATGGTTACATCCACATTTGGTTTAGACTTTACTCTGAAGAAGGTTGTTTACTTGTTTATTCCAGTGTACACTATTGTTCAAAAGTTTGGAGTATGAAAGACGTCTTAAATGCTCAAAAAGTCAGCATTTATTTGATCAGAAATACAGTAAATACAAAATATTAATTTGTTCAATATTATTACAGTTTTAAAAATGTGAAAATTTGATGTTTATCTGCTTACCCCCAGGGCATCCAAGATGTAGGTGACTTTGTTTCTTCAGGAGAACACAAACGGGAGATTTTTAACTCAAACCGTTGCAGTCTGTCAGTCCTATAATGTCAGTGGATGGGAATCACGGCTTTGAGAGTCATAAAACATACACAAACAAAACCAAATGAAACCCTGCGGCTCGTGACGA